TATTATTTTTTCATAATTTACCTCCGAAAATAATTTAAATTAAAAAAAATCTTCTCGTACATAAATTCTTGAATAAAATCTTTGAAAATATGAAAAAATAATTTTTTTTTTTTGAATTTTCACACTAAAGTACTCTCTCAAAATCGTTTGTCTTATATAATTATTGATTTCCAATGTATTTTATTTCCTTACAAAATCGATTCTTGCAATAAAACTATCCATCATATAATAATTTTATTTGTTGCCTTTGAGAGTTTCGAACGACAGAATGGATGAATTGATCAATGTGACACATATTTCTATGTGACAAGTTTTCTTATATGATTTACGACCAAACGTCATGACAAGTGCAATTGCACTACACAAGTGCAAGGAAAATATATAGAGCGGAAAATTTAATTTTCGAGTAAACAAAGAAAATTGTATTACTAGCTATATATTTATTTACCATTACCGTTGGAATAATTGGTTTCTGAAATTTTTCAGGTAAATGAATAAACAGTAATTTATTGAATTTCCAGAAGTTAACTTTCACTAGAAGATACGATTTGCTAATTTTATGTTTTTTAGACGTTTCAAGATATTCTGAATCAAATGAGATCAAATTTGGTAAAAGTATGTGGATGTCGTCGGTGCGTGTGTATATATATGAGCCGAAATTTGAAGCACTTTCTGCACTCTTTTATGCACAAATTTCAGAATTTTAAAATTTGATGATATTTGATAGAGACTAGCATCAACATGTTTTTTGCAACGGCCGGCCGAAGCATTTCTTCAAAATTAGCAGAAAAATGCAAAAAAAAAATTGTTTCAACTAAAGAGTGGTATATGGTCGCTGAGGAACAGTTTTTTTTTAATTTATTTCTTATAACCAATCTGAACCTCGGGTTCAATGAAGTTATTTGCTGACGGGTACAGGGCTAGTACAGATGGTATGTTTTCAAAAATGCGTTATGCGATTTTGATGAAACTTGACACACATTGTCACTATACTTTACTTAGATTGTGACCAAAATTTAAAGTTGGATCGTTCAATCATTCAACTCATTAATTGACTTAAATAGACTCTATACTCTATAGTATTACAAGGCCCTAGCTGTATAAGCCTTTTAAATTTCCCATAAATTTTATACTCATAGCAATAAGTCAAGTATTTATACATTTGTAGAAGTATATGCAACTTGCCTTGAGACAAAATGCCACTTACATCTAGTTTATATGTTGCTTCACAAAATAAAATACAAAAGTTTAGTTTGACAAAAAAACTGACTAAGTTGTAAAAAAATGCCCAGGTTTAAAATCAAGACTAAAAATGCTTCAAACTTTTGTTAGGATAGTTGCCTTATCCTAGTTGTGACTTATTATAACTATAGGGTAGGGCAGGGCACAAAGGTCCATATTGACTTTGAGCAATTATATTGTGAAAACCAAAACAAATATATTATAACAAATACCACATATCAAACAAACAACTATCTGACTATCTTCAGTAAAAGTCCCAGCTAATTTGAAATGTGCTTTTCGCTGTTTTACAAAAATTTGTAAACTGGATCTTTTTACACCATAGGCGGGGTAAATTGGAACGGCCAGGGAGCAAACAGGTCCAATGTTTTATTTTAATTTTCAAAGTGATTTTACAAAATAATAGCTACATTATTCAATCAACGCAAATGGGTGATTTTTTGACAGAGATAACACTCTCATTAACCTTGATCTGGTATTTCGTCAAAAATATTCATCAGCAGAAATGGAATAACTATTTATTTAATTTATTTCTTGTAAAATTGCTTATTTTACTTTAATTTTCTAATTTATTTGCTACTTTTTATTTTTACACTTTTGCCAGGGTGAAAGATTAGTTGGTTCTTTTTACCCCACCGGGATGTAAGCTTTTATAAAGGTTATATAAAAAAAACTGTTGAATCTAACTTAAAATCAAAAACAATTAAATAACGTATCCATAAAAATATATTAAGGTCTCGCAAACTAAACAACAGTGCTCTCAATCAAAACAAATAACAATTAAAAAACTTTTGTTATGGATTTTTAAACATTTCCGATTTTTTCTCCCGATAGCAACGTCATAAAAATTAAGACGATAGCTGGTTATACATCTTTTTCTCTCTACTTTCAAATATTGCTGTTAAAGAATTCGTAACTTTATTGATTTTTGAGATATCGATGGTAGACCTTTTTCCGCGCGGACCTTTAAGCCACGTTCCACTCTACTTAATAGTATTTTTCAATTTTCGAGAAGGTGATTTTCATTTGAGCTTTACAACCACAAGTAAATTTTTGATATCATACTGCTTGATATTGAGCCGGGTTGCGATTAAACACTGGACTAGTTTGTGCTCTTTACCATCACGCCACGGTTGTCTCAGATTTTAAAACTAATCAGCCATATTAAAAAACTATTTAATTCTCTATAACACAATTTGCATAAAATTACTAAAGTGTCTCTTCATTCATAATTTAAGTTAAAAATGCAAAATGCATTTTTTTCATCGTCTTATAAGCCACCACTCATTCCATATCTTAATTACATGTAATTCGTTTTAACTGGGATCTTAAAATTATAATCTTATAATTTATAACTTAAATTAAGAATGATTAATTACCCCAAGCTCATCGTTAAATTACTTATTACTTTTATAAAAAGGGCATAAAAATTGGATTTGAGAAATTAGATAAGTGATATTTTATGGGAGAAGTTTTAAAAGTGTTTGACGCGTCTAGACGATAGAAAAAGTGATGGAAATTATATGAATTCTATGTTTTAAAAGACGAAAATGGAAATAATTAGATGGTTGTGTATGTTTTTATAAAACTGTGGTGAAGATGGAATTTTACTGAGCAAGAACAGGGTTACCTGAAGGAGACGTTTATGTTTTCATAAAAAATCCGATTTGTTAATTTCATGTTTCTTCGAAGTTTCAAGCCATTCTGAATCGAATGAGACCAAATTTGGAAAAAGTATGTGTGTGTGTATGTGAACAGATTTTCTGCCGTAAATCGACGTTTTCTTAAAATCGGCTAGACCGATTTCAAAAATTTAAAAGCCATTCGATGTATCTTGATGAGAACTATTGTTTGTCAGTTTTGTGCGGCGATCAGCCAAACCGTTTCTCTGTAAGTCGCAGAAAAGTGAAAATATTGTTGTCTACGTTTTAGCCCGCAATTGTGACTCAATTTTATAAATTCAAAAACCGTTTGAAAGATATTGGTTGGAAATCGATCTAATTAGTTTTTGGTAAAGATCGACCGGGCCGTTTTCTTGTAATAAAGTGTTGAAAAAAAATCTACGATTTTTATGATTTTTTTTTATGGTTGTTACCATAGTCTCATAGGTCATACCAAAATATTACGACTCTACGACAAATTTAATTTTAAAAATTCCTCAAAGTTTGCAAAAATTAGTATCGTTTTTTTGGCATTTGTCAAAATTAGACTTTTCATCGACGTTTGCTCAAAAACGTCTGAACCGATTTCAGAAATTTAAAAGCCGTTGGATGTATCTCGATGAGGACTATCGTTTCTCACCGATCTTCCGAGCCGTTTCTTTTTAATTTGGAAGAAAGTGTTAAGCTTTTTGTCTACATTTAAGCTCATACTACCAAATCGATTTTAAAAAATCAAAAACTGTTCGAAAGATATTAGTTGGGAATGATACTAATTCGTTTTAGGTGAAAATCTACCGAGCCGTTTTATTGTTATCAACTGTTGAAAAAAAATTTAAGCCGATTTTTATGGATTTTTTTTGGCGATATATATCATGGCTTTATAGAACTTCCTGAAATATTACGGCCTTATAACAAGTTTAATTTTAAAAATTTATCAAAGTTTGAGAAATTGAATAGTTGTTGTGACGTTCGATAAAATTAAAATTAGGCGATTTACTTGGTTTAACGATAGAGTACTTGGTCTTAATGAACATACTGAACCATTGAAGTTCTACGGAAACTAGTTCAATTATAGAAATTGTTAATTTTTGAAAATTTGCTTTTAGAAAATAATCCGTGTTTTAACGTGTTCGTTCGTTTTCAATTATGTGTAATGGATCGACTCGGAATACTTTTAATCACTCATGAATTAATTTGTTTATTATTGATTAAGTCGATTATATACACATATCGGGAAGTTCATGTAACTTGCCTCAAGGCAAAATACCAATACCGACTAGTTATATACAGAATTGTAAGCAAAAAAAACAGCAAATTTTCTGTAGTCAAATTATACAATGCCAGTCGTATGTCCAGTCAGAATGCCAAAGCCTATATATATATATATATATATATATATATATATATATATATACATGTTTACACTCGTATGAACGTAAACATAAATTAAATTTACAAATAAATATATTATCAAATTATAATTCGTTAGTATCTCCGTGTAAGCCCAAAGGATGTGCCCTGCGTTGGCAACCTAGTAGGGAATGATATACGGTTTACAAGGATTTATGTCCCTGATAATTCGGTTTGAGACGCTCTGGGCCGAAAATGAAATATTATACAGCAATTCACGATAGAAATTTAACTATTACTATAAACACATTAGAAATAGAATTGGTGCATGGCATCGTGCCTTAAGGCAAATTGCTGCTACTTTCCGTATAGAAAACTAAAATATTGAAAAAAACTTTGCAACACTTAGAAAAAATTAGATATTTGAGAAATTTTGAAATTAGAAAAAAATTGAGTTTTTCGAGAAAAACTATTTTGTTTTTTTTTTTTTTGAAAATTTTGAACATTTTTTTAAGCAATTGCGCTGCATAGCTGATGTGGAATCATATATTCCTTATCTATTGTTTATTTAAATTTTATACATAAAGTAAATCTAAATTTTTCATAAAATAATACACACCTAAGAAGCAATCAAGTTGCATCAGAAGCATTCCTATAAACTTTTTGTTTATTCTAAATTATTCCAAATAGTTAAAATACTTCAATTTTTATAAATTCTAATAATCATATACCATATATAAAACTTACCACACAAAGCAATAATTTTGACAATTATGATCGGCAGCCAACACAAACAGTCTGTGAAAACGATGATGGCAAATCTCCTGGCAACTGCACTTTCATGTCTGGCATGAGTTGATCTCAGGGACACGGATGACAACTTGATGGCACGGAGCATTTTGGCATATGAAAATGTTATGAAAGCCAAGGCCAGGGTGTTGCAAGCTATGAAGAGCAGAGCTGAGTATTCCCAACCCTGAAAGAAATATAGACACAGATGTATTAGATACTGGAAAATTGGGAACTGGGAGTTGTGAGTTATTTAAAGGACTTGGGAAGAGTAGCAACTACTAATGGATACTGCACGAGAGAGATCAGGGCTAGGATCTAAGGATAAGTACTTCATTTGGATCTTGACTCTGTACGAATTAGAGACATGAACTTAGGAAGAATATTAATAACGATGGATACTGTACAAGCGAAACCAAGGCTAGGATCTAAGAAAAAGAGCTTCATTTGGATTCTGACTCTGTACGAATGAGACATAGATCTTAGGACGTCAGAAAGCCAGAGACATGGACTCTAAGAAAGCCATGAACAAACAGTTCTCTGATGACACAACGATATCATTACTATATTTTATTATTTTTCTACTTACCCTAGCGTATGGGTCATGTATATGTATAGACAAACAGACGCCATTGCCTCCATAGAAATGTTCTCCAAAATATTGAAGACCAGTCAATGGAGCAACAGCAGCGAGTCCTGCCAAGGCCCATAGGGTCCCTAACCTCAACCAAGCCCCTTGAGCCCCACGATCCCTAGGAGCTAAGGGTCTGGTGACAGAGACCAAACGGTCCCATGTTACCAGAGCTAGGAGGAGAGTTGATGATTGGCAACTTAGGGTCGATAGAAAACCTGAAATGAAAAAATTTAATTTATTTAATGTTTTTCATAAATAGTTTGTATTCTACATGAAAATGGTAAACGGAAACATGGAATAGAAAGAGTAATGCTGCATGCTGGTTTAAAAGATTAGTACAATTAATTTATTTAACATATTAAGATACTGATATTTGTTTCATTCAAATAGTAGTCCAGTTATTATAGTAAGTTTACCTCGGAATTCGAGATACCCAGCTGTAAGTGTAAATACTCTGTAAATACACCCTAAAGTTGTCTCAAGATTTACATATGGTAGGGTGTCCATTTGTAGGTTTTGAGACAACTTTTAGGGTGTATTTACAGAGTATTTACAGGATTACAGCTGTGTATCTCGAATTTCAAGATTCTTATCTAATTTAAGCTTAAATGACTAGACTACAGTCCTATTTTTAAGTTTTGTTAATTCAGAGAAGAAGATTTATTTGTAAAAGCGCTTCCCTAGTTTTGAGACTACAATTCACATAAATATATATAGTTACAATAGTTTTTTATTCTGACTCTAGAATTGTTACATACAAAAATAGCTCGATATGGAAATTTTATTATGCTTTCTATAACAATTTATTAACCCTTTCGCTATGAGCGTCGCCTACAGTGTACACCTGTGTGCACGAGTTTCGCCCATATGCGACATTGATATTATCGACTTTTAAGAATTATCACTCTGGGTTAAATGATTGAGAACTTTAATTTGTCTTTAATGTTTTAGTTTCTTAAAAGTAGAAGTGTATTATAATTTTCAAATACAGTTTTATCCATAGAAATTAGAAAATTCTAAAATGCTTAGTGTAACAAATTCTTGGCCAGCGTTCTGACTCGTACAGCAGTGTCGATAAAGGTTGACTCTGATCATTTTTTTAAGATTGTGAAATTTAATATTTTTTATAAGTTATTATTTAATATTTTGATAAGTTTTCTTACCACAAACTGCACATCCAATGCTTTCCCTCCAAGATTCATCGTTCTGCAGATATCTGCCTCTGAATAATATTAATAATAATTTAAATCTAGTTCTGTTTTAATAATAATTTATTACTATGACTATTTATAACAATAACTTTATTTTCAATAATAGAGATATAATTATTATCTCTATTATTATATAGTAGAGACATACTTTTTATGTTCTAGCTTTGTGAAAATTACATAACTACATTTACTAATTTTACCCTTTTAAAGTATTTATTTCATAATAAATTTGTTTGAAATAACAAAAATAGGACTACAACTAATTTTTATTTTGAAAATACTTTTACTTCGTTCAAAAGTAGGTTGGGATCAGATGTTCTAGCATATTTTTATGTCGAATTTAAAAAATAAATTTTTATGAATGCAAATAATTTAATATCTTGAATTGAAATTTTAGAAAGTTTTTGCAACGTTGTTCTTTCTATATATTTAAGTGAAAAATGAAATACTAGAATTATGCCGAGACATGATATTGGAAATAACTTGAAATTGCGCCGTTTGATTTATTATGCGAATTAAAAGAAATAATTTATTGAACATGATCGATAGACATGATATATACATACACACACACACACACACACACACACACATATATATATATATATATATATATATATATATATAATTACCTATAAACTATATCAGCAACTGCTATTCCAGTCAAATAAACCCCCATCAATAAATCAGAGATGGCCAAGTGTCTCAAATACAAAGAGTGCTTTGGGCAATTAGCTCTCGTCAACAATCTGCCCCCGAGCACCAAAGAATTTCCAGCCACTGCTACGAATGCCATAACCCAGACACTAAAAAAATAATAATAAATTATATCTACTTTAGTAATTAATTAATAATTTATTTGTTCATATATTGTTGTTGGTTTTATCTTACATGGCTCGCAGGACAGGGCTGTCCAGTAAATGCCGGGCTGAAGAAATGCCGTCCCCGTGAGGTTCGCAAACCCTGACGTGCATCGCCGCTCGGCAAAGGGAAAATGATGAAAAATATCTAAAATTTAATTGAAATTATTATGAATCAAAAGTTATTATAAAAGAAGATTCAAATATGCATTTTATATCAGAAGTTAACTAGGCTTAAGTGGTATTTTGGCGTAATGAAAGTTGCATGATCGACCTAGTCAATAAGAATTGAGATTTTAGCAAATTTCAAATTCATGACAATAAAGTTTTCAAAAGTTTATAAATAATAATACACGAATGATGAGACAATCCTAGTCTCAAAACGTTTGAAAAATTAATATTATTTAATAAATTAGTGCAAAAAAGAGTGCTGTTTGTTCATATTTCTAATTTAATATATAACCACTCAGAATACATTTGTTATATATATATATATATATATATATAATTATTTGTATGTCAATTTTGAGTACTTTTTCCACCACTGTTTCATTACAATACTTTTCTTAGATTAGTTTACAGCCAAGTGAACTATTCACACTGCAGCTTTCTTCACAGCGAAATTTCCTTTGAGAAAGTTTTTGTTCGATCAAGCAAAAAGTCTCAGAGCATAATAAAATTAAAAAAACATAAAAATAAAATTGTTGAATGCAACACGTTTATTGGCGGCGAAAATAAGTTTCAGAAAATATTTCCCGAGTTTCGAGCAAAATGAAATGTGGTGCGGAAACTTTTTGAAAATACCGAGTGCGGATTTCGTTTGATGTAGAAAATAATATATATACATATATATATATATATATATATATATATATATATATATCTAATATGCTAGAAAGTCTAGAAAGTTTTATAAACGGTTTTAAAGTTATTTATTATAAGTTGTCCTCAACTTCAATCACAATTGCCCAAACCAGACGACGAAGACGTTTTTTCATGGTTTGGTAAATAATCAATAAATTTTCATAAACAAATATTTAACGAGGTGTGAGTGGTATTTTGCCTTAAGACAAGTTGAAAAAACTTTACTATATTTGGTAGTCTTCGACATGATCAACAAGAATTAAGGTGTAGTAACTTTTCTAATTGTGATGATAGATAATTGACATTTTTACACTGCTCAATATTCCAAATTTTGACGAGTCTTTTAAAATATGCCATTTTTGTAGGACTATAATATATTGGGTTGTAGTTAAAACCATAAACTCTATTATCCTTAAAAAGTGTCACAAAAATCTTAGTAAAAGAAATAGTGATGTATGGCATCATCCTTTAGCATTTCAGCTAGAATTAAAACTAAAATACGAATTATTTTCGAAAAAAAAAATTGAAATAAAAATAATTTTCTTACACTTACACTCACACTCTGTAAATGTTAATGTAAATGTAAATGTGAATGAAAATGTAAAAGGGATTGTAAGTGTGATTACGAAATAAAAATAATTTGAGCCTACACAAGCAAAAGTTATTTGAATCATTCAAATAGGATGCTCAGTTCTCTCAAAAACTGTTTTTTGCACATTTAGCTCGGTATCTCCGAAACGGATAGACCTGCCCTTTGTCAAAAACTAATCACCACTTCTGTCCATTATTACGAATTGAATGTTTTTGGATAATTCAAATCAGATGCTCCGTTCTCTCAAAAAATCTATTTCTATTTTCTGCACTCTTTGCTCCGTATCTCCGTAACGGCTGGATCTGCCTCTGCCAAAAACTAATCAGCACATCTCCCTATCAATAGAAATCGAATAGTTCTTGAATCATTCAAATCGGTTTATCCGTACGCCCGGAAACGTGGATGAAAAATTGTAACCACACATACATACACACACACACACATACACATTAAATTTTTCTGAGGTATGCCAAAATGTTCAGAACCCTCCAAAACGTGAAGATATACAAACATTTTTAATTTCGATTTTTTGGCAAATATAATAACTTACCCTGCGGGAAGTTAGAAAAAAAAAATCGAACAAATGGTTCGTCTAAGTTTTTCCAGAATCTAATCGACATGATTCCTAACTGATATTTTTTGAACAGTTTTTGAATGTTTAAAATCAGTTCACATTTTGCCAAAATGTTGACAAAAAATGTTGCACTTATTATTTTTAATTATAAAGAAACGGCTGGCCCGATCATCTCACAAAACTAATCAACATGAGCTCTCAACCAGTTTCGTCAAATGGATTTGAAATTTTTAAAATCAGTGCAGCCAAATAGCCATTTTAAGCAAATATCGCCAAAAATCTAATTTTAGCACATACACATACACACACACTTTTTCCAATTTTTGTTTCAAACGATCAATAAAAGCTTGAAACGTCAAGGAAACTAGTTAGCAATTTTATAGGAACTATAGAAACCTTTTCAGAAAGTCATTAAATATTTATGTTTTGGTTAATAGTAGCAAGGATATATATTATACATAATAATAATAAATAATCAAGAGGCAGGTCGATGGCATGAGAGCACTACAAAATCATTGATTTGCCTCCCCTCCCTTATTTATTTATATAATTATACATGATATTATTTATATGATACAACCAATAACTTTCATTTCTATTATTAATAATTTATATGGTTTCTTTATTTATGATTAAAATTTTGTAATTTTTTTAGTACTTACATATATTGAAGACTAGTAACATTCTGGAGTAATGTATCGCTCAATCTTTTGAACGGATTCTCCTTCAAATATCTGTAAAAATATTTAAAAAAAAAAATCAAAATAGTCAAAAAAATTTAAAATTTTTATTTTTGCATATTAATATATTTTTCATTACAATGACCACATTTTTACCAATCAAAAAGCAGTAAAATTATAGATAAATATTAATGATGTTTGGATTCTAGATAAATAATTATAGATAAATAATAATGGTGATAAATCCATTATTGCTATGATGGATGAAAATACTCTTCAAGATATTATATATCATTAAAGTCATTAAAGTATTATATATTTTAAAACAATTTAATAGAACTTTAGCACACAGCGAAATTTTTTATAATATATTACTTATTGATAATTTTGTGCATGAAAAAGCACTTTCGGATAATCAACACCAAAAATTCACAATAGTTTCAAAATTAACCAAGACCTTTCCATTTTTTCTAAGTATTTGCCAAATTATTTTGCATGCATAACAAATATTATTAAAATTTATTTTATCAACTTACAGTGATGTCAAGTTACTCAAGGGATTAAAAGTGCCATCTTCAAAGTCGATGAGATAATTTTCATTAAGATTCCTGAAATATCAGAAAGTAATTTTTAATAAATATCTTATTGCAAATAAAAAGAGTAATTGTAAAAATACGTACAAGGCTTGTACTCGATGCAGATGTTCAAAAGTTTCATTTTTCAGTGTCGTCAACTTATTTCCAGAAATAAACCTAAAATTAAAAAATTAAATATTATAATATTAATAATATGGGATAATCATATAAATTATTATCAGAAAAGGCAATATCGTATAACGCATGAAAAATTCTTTTGCATTTATTATTATAAGCAAACATAGAAATATTTTATATTAATTTCTGTCTCAAATTATTACCATTAACTGTTTTTATGACATGTGCAAAAATGATTTGATTTATATAAAATTTTCAGCAAATCTTTCACTATATATCTAACACTTGAGTTTGATTTATGTGTTATTCAGATAAAACTGCCAGTTTCAATATTTTTGGCAATTAGTCAGAATCCAGTAAAAATATGAAACTGAAGTAGATATAAAAATGTTGAAAAAAACTATATAATTGTTATTGGAAAAGTGCATAGGATTTTTTCTTTTTTATCAAATATAATAACAAATTAGAAGTAGATTAGAAGGAGTACCTTCTGATTGATCTAAATTATGAAACTTAGGAAAAATTTACCGACACTTATTTTAAACATGTTTTTTTGCATTACATTTTTGTTATTAAAAATTGTTAGATCAAAAATTTCGAGACAACAATCTTTCTATCACGTTTTTAGTAATAAATATTTTTTATGTGAAAATTTCCGGGACATGACTTTGTTTCTATCAAGTTTTTTGAAATAAAAGTGTCTAAGGTACAATTTTTTGAGATACGATTTTTTCCAATCACATTTTTCCAATCACATGTTTTGAAAACTTCTAGGCAAAATTTTCCATGACGTGATTTTACGTTTAAGTTGTGAGAAAGTTTTTTTGTTGGGGGTTCGTAGTCATATAGTATGGCTTTGGAATCATGAAATCTCTTGTTTGAGCACACATTTTGGACTGCCTGATATCAAACAGTAGAGATATCCATTTTTATTAAAAAATATAGATTAAAAAATGCCAGCCCTACTGTACTAAATTTAGGTAAAAAGATTACACAACTATTAATAGCTAGAATTACACAACTAATATAGATAAAATAACCACGAGGTTGCCTTCTAAAAAATAAAAGTAGTTAGGAGGAATTGTCCCAATAGCTCATAACACTCTAAACCTTTTCCACTTGCGAATTCCGAGATTTATATGAATTTTGACGCCGGAGCGGCGGCATCCGAGTGGAAAAGGTTAATAAAATAAATATTTTTTTTGAAATTTTATTAATGTTTTGTAAAGCTTTTAGTCTATATTTTAATATATGTATATTAATATTTTTATACTCACAAATGTTCCAAAGCAGGAAGGTTTCCAAATCTGAGATCCGTGATCCTGTTGTCACTCAGTGACAAAGTGTAAAGCATCTCAATTTGTGGGAAGCTTAGAGGAGTTACTTGACGTATTCTATTGCCGTTCAGATACCTAATAAATAATAAACTATATTAATAACATTTATTGCTTGATTATTTGTTATATAATATCAAGAACATCGTATGTATTTTAAATTTTTTAAAATCGGTTCAGTCGTTTCTGAGGAAACAAATGTCGAATATGGGATCACATACAAAAACATATACTTCTTGAAATTTTCGGGAACAATTCGAGGAGATATAATAGTAATTTCATGAGTTGATGGTCACAAACTGTTAAAAAGCCATCTTATTGCTATTCAATCGTACGTTTTGCACAATCAACTTCTAAATCCTAACCTCCAAATGGCACGGTCGTTACTTATGATAACATTGTTATTTGTTATTACCATTTTGAGGTTAGGTTTTAGAAGTTACAAAGTTTTGAAAAAAAAATTGACGTTTTTATAAAAAAAGAGTGCGCCTAAGGTTCCCACGCGATTGAAGCAAAACTTATTTGCTATTGTACAATGACATTTAAGTAAAAATAAATACATCATATACCAATTTTGAATAATGTTTATTAGTAATATGGTAACACTCGTGATCCACACATTTATTAGTGTCGACCATTATACACATTTATATAATGATAAATTATAAATTACATATTTATAATGGCATTAAAAATATGTATAATATTTAAAAACAATAATGTAGTTAAAGTCATACTTCAAATATGAAATGATCGGTTTGTCATTGTAATTAGCATTTAGGACTTGGACCTTCATTAGAGAAATAAAGTAATTGCTCATTAATAAATTCTATAATATTTGTTCACGCAGTAATTATGTTAAACAACGCCTAAACAAGTATTGTTTTCGCAAGCACTCATCATGTAATTATGTTTGAAGAACTTCATGTAATTAAAATTAACATACATTCATTGACTGCTTGTATTTTTTTTACTTTTTCGCTGGCGATATAATCTCATTCTTTGAACAGCTATAACATCTGTTTTGTCTAAAAAATATTTTCCATTTTAATAACTTCAAAGATTTATAGAAACTACGAATAAAATAGAAATAATTAATTAAGAAACTTACGTTTAGTACACGGCACAAATGTTTAATTTGTTTTATTATTTTCAAGGAACAGGGTAAAATATTCTTCTGATTCAGGCGTTTTTCATTAAATCTAGATTTGTACTACGATGTTACTTAAAAATGTTAGTTTATCTATGTCGATTTCCTTGTTGATATCGGTACGCATACAACGACAGATCTCTATTCACATACACGACGACTAATCACAATCGACCCGTATGGAAATGATTTCATCGAGAGCGAATGAAGTACTGTTCGGGCGTAACGCAATTTCCGTTGCATTTGTACGGATTTACACCGTAGTCGCGCCTAAAGAAGTTTTGGTTAAAAAAATAGCTTGGTACGGGAAGTTCCAGCAATTTGTCTTCATGGCACGATGCCATGCACCACTAGTTTATTTTTCTCACAGCTAACTGGTAAATCAACAGATCCATAAAACAGTGGCACAACTGTCTCCCTACTCCAAAACCGTTCTTATAAGCCTCTTATCCCACGTGTGTTGTTCTTTACTTTCCACAAAATATTCGATATCATTTCCACAATGTCTCGTACCTCTGTCGGTGTGTGAAAATGTGTTTTTCTCTCATCAGAACACCTCATCCGCTAATTAGTGTTCGTATATCGTTTTGCCGCGACGTGGATTCGGTTTCCAATTAATTGGCATCAGCAGATATTACCGGGGAGTCGCCTAACCTAACCTAACCTAACCATGTGTTATGATATAAGGTTCGATTTTTGGCATGTCGAGTGTTCGTGAAAAATCACCGACCTTTGATATATCGCATGAAAATTCCGCGGTGGAAATGATTACGGCGTTTTGTCGTTGCGAGGATCATTTCCTGGTGAGATGGAGGAGTGTTTCTCAACAAAGGAGGGTGATTTGAATATTGACTCTGCACGGTTTTAGATATTAGACTTCAGATTTGAGGTACTAAAGTGCAATGTTATGTATTAATGATAAATTTAGGTACTAGTTAATCATTTCCGCGTGGAAATTCAAATTTTGGAAATTTTTCATCATTCTCAAAAAAAAAAAAAAAAATTGAAAAACTAAAAAAAAAATATTTTTTTCAAAAATTTGAGAATATTCCGAAAATTTCAAAAAGAATCGAATATTTTCAAAAATTTCCAAACTCTCAAAATATTTGAAAAAAACATTTTTTTTAAATTCCAAAACATTTCAAACTTTTAAAAAAAATGCATAATTTAAAAAAAATTCTGAATTATCAAAAAAATCAAATTTAAAAAAATGGACTCTTGTAAACGTACACATATAAATTGTTCGTAAAATACGCTTGTCGTCCAGTTCAAAAAGCTCTTATAAGTTTACAGTATGTAATAAATAATCTATTTGAAATTATTCAAAACAATTATTATTTTCATTCCTCGAATGTTTAATTATGGTACGGAAAGTTTGGTTTGATTTTCACATTATAATTGCTCAGTTAAATTGGATCTTTGTGCCCCGCAAAGGTTTACTTATGATAAATTGGTTATTTGACGTTTGTGCGTTTTGTAGGTTAGGTTTTATGTGTAAAACGCCTGAATGTACAACAACTACATACCTTTGTTTTCATATGACTCGTAACATAGTGTCACTATTAAATTACTATTTTATCTGAGAATTGGGTCTTCAATTTTTATTTAATCCCCACATTGGGAAACAATGGCAATAAAAGTGTAAAATGGCTAAAAAAATGCTTGAACCAAAAGTATTATGTTGTTTTTAACAAGTTCATATAGATTTTCTTGATTATTTTAAAATTATTGTTTGTATTCAGTATATTAGTTTATTTTAATAAAAAAATCAATGTAAATTTTGTTTCCTAAAATTCAACATTTATATTTTTTAACAAAAAAAAGACTATTTTAGAATTAAAAACTCTTAAAATTTTTTATAAATGTATAAATTGGGACATGGACTAAAAAAATAGGAAACATTGCATTAGATTGCTTTTTTAACAATTGTATAAGGATTTTTTTTAAAACTTTTTTGAATATATATGTTTAAAGGGTAAAACAGATTTTAAGAAGAACAATGTTTGCATAAATTTACCCTTTGTTAAAAGGGTATGTAATATATATTTTCTATATAGGTAAAAAGTGATTTTTGCCATAAAAAAGGATTCAAGATACTGTATTGGGCTGTTTTTATAACAGTTATATTCCTTATTAAAATATACGTTTAATATTTTTAATAACCAAAAACATTTACTAATAATAATTAAACCATTAATATAATATTTTTACTTACAATTTTTCAAGTCTGATTAAAGGTTCGAACATAACTGCTGAAATTTCTTCAATGTAGTTATTTCTGAGATCTCTGTAACAAAACATAACAATATGTAATTATATATAACCTTCAGGATTATATCTAATCTTTATATATTTAAAAATTAAAATGTTATAATAATAATATTTAAACTTACAGTTCGACCAAATTTTCCAAATTTTCGAACACGTCCTCTTGCAGAGCAATGATTCTGTTTGATCCTAGAATTCTGAAATAAGAAAAAAAAGTTTATTAACTTCATAATAATAATAGTAATAACAGTAATATATATATATATATATATATATATATATATATATACTAGCTGTACCAGTTCATACTTCGCCTTGTTTTAGTTTTAATTAAAAATTTGAACAAAAACGCATATTTGCTACATCTAGTCTACAGTTTTGTCTTCCAGCCTTACTGTCTATATGACCATCTGTCTACCTCTCTACTTGACTTCAGTTTACCTATCAACCTGTACACTAATTTACCTGTCCATCAGTATATCTGTCCACCAGTATATCTGTCGATCTATTAGTCTTCCAATTTCACCAACAATATACCTCGCTCAACAATTTACTTGGCAATCAATTTAATTATTAACCTGTTTATCAATCTACCATTTTACTTGCCTACCAATTTTCCTGTCCACCAATTTACTTATCTATCAATTTAGTAGTCTATCAACTTACTTATCAACCTGTTTATCAATCCACCATTTTACCTGTCTACCAATTTTCCTGTCAACCAATTTACCTATCCATCAATTTAGTAGTCTATCAACTTATCTATTAACCTGTTTATGAAACCAATATTTTATCTGCCAACCAATTCACTAGTTCACCGATTTGTCTATCAACCAATTTATCTGTGGTTCATATTCGTCTATCTATCAGTTGTTTTGTCCATCATTTTACATATCTTTCATTTAACTGTCGACCAGTTTACCAATCTACCAATTCATCTGTCTACCTGTTCATCTGACTACGTATCTATCTATCTACCTGTTTATCTATTTATCAAGCAAGGCTGAGGCTCTACAACTAGCTCCACGTACTTCCCAAACTTCTATTTTAAATTTAGAAGTACGCACGTGGCGAAATAAACAAAACAATTTCAAAATGATTTTAATATGACAACAATTTTAAATTTTTAATTCATTACTCTATTTTTATTTTGTTTCCTAGAATTCCATATCGGAAAATCGCGGCTTTTAATTAAGATCGTTCCTGCAGCGATTTTTTTAGTTATGCGCGGTATTTAATGGAAAACATTCAATTCATTTAAGAAAAGTGGAAAAAAACTAAAATTAAATATTGAAAAGAGTTTCAACTGGATATCACATTGCTCTGTGAAATTTGATTTTTATATGATTTTTTGCAATTGGATGATATGAGGATATATTACATGTGTGTAAAAAAACAGCACATACAATTTCAAATGTTAATGAAACGAAATGAAATTTGCAAATATTTTCCTAACTTTTTTCCGAGGATTAAATGAAAATTGTAATTGTATTATAAAATGTTTAATTACATCGAATAGGATGATGGTTTGCGTTATATACTTCTGTATATTAATCTCTTTTCTGACTGCAGGAACCATTTGAATTTTTTAATTTTTTTAAATACGAAAGTTATTATTAACATTTCGTAAGATAAGTTATAGTAATTGCAAAAAAATCGAAAATACAAATTTTTATATATCTTTACTTTTTAGAGGTTTCTGAACATCTTGGAATACCTTAAAAAAATGTATGTTTGTGTGCGTTTGGATACAAATTTTCGTGGACAATTTTGCGAACACGTATCAACCGATTTGAATAATTCAAAAAACATTCGATACCTATTGATAAGGGGACGTGCTGATTAGTTTTTGGCAAAGCAGGTCTAGTCGTTTCGGAGATACAGGTCAAAAAGTTCGAAAAATGGTATTTCAGTTCTTGAGATAACGGAGCATCCGATGTAAATAATTCAAAAAACATTTTACTTGTATTGACGAAATGAACAACTAGTGATTTTTGTAAAGGCAGGTCTAGCGTCTCTGGAGATCTAATAAAAAAGTAATAAATAATGCCATTTGGCGGTCAAAAATGAACATTAGACATATGTACATTGTATTTTCAGATACTTTAAAAAGAGTATAATAATAAGTACAAATTCTGTATACATTTATATGGGTTACATACCAATGTTTACATGTAAAGGTCTATGCGGCGCTTACGCGCTTTGATATTCCAGCTTCAAATCAGTTATGCAGTGCGATTGCTTAAAAAAATGTTCAAAATTTTCAAAAAAATCAAAATACAAATAAATATCAAAATATAAAACAAAATGAAAAAAGTTAAATTTTTTAAACAATTTCAAAATTTTTCAAAGTTTTGCAATTTTTTTTTTAATAATCTAGTTTTCAGTACGGAAAGTTCCAGCAATATGTCTTAAGGCACGATGCCATGCACCACTAGTAGAGAAAAGGTCTAATTTTGGCAAATGACAAAAAAGCTACTGTGTTAAGAGTCGTAGTACGTAGAGTCAAAATATTTCAGTATGATCTATAAGACCATGATATCTATAGTCAAGAAGAAAATATAAACATTGTCGAAAAAAAAAATTCAAAGTTAATTACAAGAAAACGGCTCGGCCAATTTTTACCAAAAACTAATCAGCACGATACCCAACCAATATTTTTCGAAAAATTTTTAAAATCTATTCAGATAAGTGCTAGCCTCATCAAGATACATCAAATGACTATCAAATTTTTTAAATCAGTTTAGCAGTTTTTGAGAAAACTTTGAGGAAAGGTCAAAAACCAGTTCACATACGCACACACATTCACACATATACACACACACTTATCTAAATATGGTCTCATTATTTTCAGAATGGCTTGAAACGTCGAGAAAACATAAAACTAACAAATAGGATTTTGTCGCAAAAACATAAACTTCTTCTTCGGGAAGTTAAGTATGGCTGGTTAGAAAAAAAGTGGCACAACCGTACCCAGTCTCCCTTACTTGATCGCTGTCTAGCAATTCCAACTTTTATCAAACTCTCATTTGAAACATTCAATATACAAAATATTAAAGAATAGTTGTTCCACTCAATGCTTTACTACAAATAAACAGCAGTATGCTTTATCTCCGTATAAGTTATTTCACTATATTTTTTGTTAAATTGTAAGAGCACCATATTGAGTGCAGAATACGTCGTATATGCGTAATATCCAGGAAGAATTCAACGCAAAATCTGGATATGAAATCAAAACCCATGGGAGTTTGGAATCTTTTGAAATCTATGCATACGTTACTACGCCACTTTCATATGTCAACAGAAAATGCCTTTTCAGTTCGCATGTATCGATACCTTCATCATTTTGATACCCGCGGTGAATGAATATATATAAACACACACACATGTATATATATATATATATATATATATATATATATATATATATTAGTGTGGCCCTTAATATGGACATTTTCGAATTTCCTTGCTCCCAAGAGCTCAAATGGTTCCAAATTGATAAAAAACAATTCTCTGAAAGTTTTAGCTTTTAATATTAACTTTTAGATAGTGCGCAATTCAATCAAACTTCGTATGGAAATAGCATGGAAAAAAATTTAAAAATTAAAAAAAAAAATTTCTAGGCATAACTTAGCAACAAATGAATTAAAAGTGAAAATTCGTGTCATTTTTTATTGAAAATTCGACGCATTGCAATTTTTTTTAAATTTTTAACTTCCCGTTGGGAAAGTTATAGTAATCGCAAAAAAATCGAAAATGAAAATTTTTATATATCTTTACGTTTGAAAACCTTCTGAACATTTTGGCATACCTTAGGAAAAATGGATGTATGTGTGTGTGTGTGTGTGTGTGTATGTATGTGCGTGTGTATGTGCGGATACAAATTTTCGTGGACGATTTCGGGAACGCGAATCAACCGGTTTAAATAATTCAGAAAACATTCGATTCGTATTGATAAGGAGACGTGCTGATTAGTTTTTGGCGCAAGGCAGATTTAGCTGTTTCGAAGATACGGGGCAAAAAGTGCCGAAAACGGTAACTCAGTCTTTGAGAGAACGGAGCGTCCGATTTGAATAAAAGCATTTTACTTGTATTGACAAGATGAAGAATTGATCAAATTTTCATGAAGGCAGGTCTAGCGGTTTCGGAGATCTAATGAAAAAAGTAAAAAAAAAAGCCATTTGGCGGTTAAAAATGATCATTGGACATATGCACATCAAATTATCAGATATTTTATAGAGATTTCAACAATAAGTATAATTTTTTTTACCTTTCTATGGGTTCCGTACCAATGCTTATGCGTTAGACGGCGGCGCGGCACTTGCGCGCTTTGACATTTCGTCTCTATGCAGTTCAAGCAGTACGATTGCTTTGAAAAAAAGTTCAGAATTTCCAAAATATGTCAAAATGAAGAAAACATGTTTCTTTTAAAAAAAAAAATTGTTATCAAAAAAAAGTAATTTTTTATCAAATTTATAGTTTCTCAAAAATCTAATTTTTTCGAAGTAAAATTTTTTCAAAAATGTTAATCGTTTTTAAAAAAATAATAATTTTTGGTACGGGAAGTTACAGCAATTTGCCTTAAGGCATCGTGCCTTAATTGCTTTAAGACAGAATTCCACTTACAGCTAGTTTTTATGCTATTTCCATACAAAACTTTGATTGAATTGCGCTCTATCTAAAAGACAATATCAAGAGCTAAAACTTTCAGAGAGTTGTCTTTTATCAATTTGGAACCATTTGAGCTCTTGGGAGCAAAGAAATGCAAAAATGTTCATAGTAAGGACTACTCTAATATATATATACTAAATGACCCGACAGATGTTGTCCTGTACCCACGTCGAAGCAGTATAAAAAATTCAGAAAAAAATAATATAGTATCTGCGGTAAAAGAACAATATCACACATGATTTAACCACACAACATAATTGCTTCAATAATTCAGTCTAAAATTTTCATAATCTCATACGATATATTAGTTGCTTTTTGGCAAACTAATCTAAACTTCTAAAGTACGTTTCCGTTACTAATAATTGCTTAAACATTATTGCTAAAGTTCAAATTCAAATCTTAGATGAATTAATTTGTAATATCTACTAATATCTAGTTTGTTTACTAAAATGAGCACTGCTCTTCAATCTAAGATCAACTTGCTAAATTTTCAGCATTTGAAACATTTTTATAATTAGTTTTTTAT